GTCTTTATGGTGCATATTATCGATGTTTTTTTTGCAGCACTCGTAACCCATATTTTTCAACCTACTATTTTGAAAGGCTTTTGCATTAGTCTATATGTTTAACACCTTGATAAAAATGTTTGCTTTAAGGTTTGCGTTTGTAGGCCTAGGGCTTCAGAGCACGCATTTATTATACTATTTCTCCAACAAACATATATGTATATGCATATATATTTGAAAAGAACATTTTTCGTATTTTACTATTAAGTCGCAATAAAAATCAGGTAATGTGCAATAGAAGTAGATACTGCTTCCGAAAATATTGCATTCTTCTTTCTATTCGTTTACAACAATAACCGGATCTACGATACTGGAATTGATGCGTAGTGTAAGTAATATGTTACTACTGTTATTACTTTTAGAGCAACATTTAGTCGCAGTGTTGCCCCATATCCTCCTCATCCTTGCTGGCGTGAGTCCAACCCGAGACCGGATCAATTTTTACCTCCATCTAGGTTAGATTTAATGCATGCAATGGTTGGAGCCACATTAAGACCTGCTCAGGGCTTAAGACACATAGAGAGGGGTGCATATATGATCCCATGTTGCAAAACAGCCTCTCCGGTCATGTAAAATGCACCTAGTTGGCACAATGCACCGCCACTAAAGTCGAGTGGTCTGATCTATCCCTCCTAACCTTCATTCGCTCCTATTCCTGCGCGAGGCTCACAAGGCAACTCCTGGTTCCTCGCACTGTCTGTTCTGTGTGACAGAACATACGTTGGAACATTGTTTATCGAGGTTTTTCTGGTTGCGCATCACGCGTGATTGTCAAACGTTCCTTGCTGTCGGAGTCAGCCTTCACAACAACCAGCTATGGCGTCGCCAGTACGAACCCAAGTACGACAACCGCAACGGTCTAAAGAACGACATTGTAGATATAGTCGAGTTCACGGCCCAGGAGAGCATATCGGTAGCTGCAGTATGAGAGAAAAGCCTCTGAGATCTTCTGAGATATGGATCAAGAGTGAAATATCCTTCATTATGCAGCGGAACTATACTAAGTCAGGAGATAGGAACATAGTTAACAGATCAGGTGATGTCAAAATTTTTAAAATATTTCTACCCCCAAAATTTAAATTCAGCACACTCCCCATTTACACGGTCATGAGGAACGTCAATTCGGCAAGATAATCGTTGCTGATACTGCTCGCTTCCTTCCAGCTAGAAGAATTCGTGAATTATGACCTAATTTCCCAGCTAAAGCAGCAGTCTTAGCGCGATACCTTTCAAAAGGTCGTTGACGGAAAAATGTGCTCTCAACAAATTAGACAAAAGAAATATGATATTTCTCAGGGTGATTTCCTCTACCCGCTACTGTTTAATCACTACATTTCGAGCCTCCCGTAACCCCTACCTTATAACATTATACGCAGTGGATTTTACAGTAATGACGTTGGGTAATGGAATTGATGGCATGTGTTCAAAAGTTAACGCCTATCTCCCAGAACTTTCTCTCTTCTTCACTGCTAGGAACCTAAAACTCTCCCTGTCAAATCTACGGCTACCCTAATCTACGGTTTAGATGTTACATTTCGCTGTCTGAACTAAGTCACTCCTCACACAATCAGCAGTGGCAAAGGACAAGCCAATCGGTCGGCTGATCATCAACAACGCCACCGCCAATATGGTTATTTGGATGCAGCAGGTCTCGGATGGAGAACTTATAAACCTGTCAAAACACCACACTCCGGACTATAACAGGATGTCTCCTGATGTTTCCCATCAAACATTTACACAGTGTGGCCCACATGCTTCTTGCAAAAGCGCATAACTTTTTACTTCCTAAGCAGGTTTTGCACGGGTGTTTCGCAGTCACCTGCTTGAATATTCCTCCTACACGTCGACGAACTCGAAGAATATACCAAGTACATTTCGGACCTGGTCAATTTCCGAAAGGCGCTGAACGCCATTCACAGTTGAGCTATTAACATCTTCATTCACTTTCTCCTAGTGAATGGTTTCTTGGAGTAAAAGCAACACCCATCGCAGAACAAGAGCTCCGTTTGCCGTGTGAAACAAGTTTTGTAGTAGGTTAAACTCCTACTTATCTAGAATATACTCTGACATACAATGAGTCTCTCCTAATCACCTTTTTGCTTGCCAATTTCAGTTCAATTAACACTCTTCTCCAAATGGTCCAAAACCGTTGAAATAACTCGGGTCTAGCAAATCAGTACAACAACACCATTATTCTTAATTTTAATGTATATTTAATTTCTTTTGGGTTTCACTATTTAAACGAGGGCTGCTATATATATTGCTGGCCTAATAATGAAAATAGGAATATTTATCAATGAAAATGGTTTTATTGTTTTTCAAAATATTCTCCATCAAGATTTATACACTTTTGCATGCGCTCAAACAAATTTTCGAAGCACTTTTTCCACTCCGATTGAGACACCTCCAAAACATGGTTTTTGAATGCTTCARCMGCATCCTCTGGCGACGAAAATCGTTGACCACGCATTATTTTCTTGATGTGTGGGAATAAAAAGAAGTCATTGGGTGCCAAGTCAGGGCTGTACGGCGAATGACCCATCAATTCGACGTTTTGGCCGGTCAAAATAGCACTGGTTTGAGCCGATGTGTGAGAGCTCGCATGTCATGGTGCACAATGATTCATCTTCTCTTGTTCGTTTTTCGAATTTCTCCGAAGACTTCAGGCAAACTAATGGTGTTGTATCACTCAGAATTGACCGTCCTACGTTGCTCAAGCAGAACAGTCGCCGCATGACCAGTTTTGCCGAAGAAACTGGCGAATATTTGCTTCGAAGTGCTTCTTCCACGAACAACTTTCGTTGGCTCGTCTTTGAAGACCCACACGGTCGATTGCTGTTTTGTTTCGGGCTCATACKCATAGATCCATGATTCGTCACCTGTGACGATCTTATAAACGTCTTTTGAAGCACCGCAATCGTATTTTTTCAGCATTTCTTTACACTAATTCACACGAGCATTTTTTTGAGCGATTGTCAAATTGCCAGGTGTTCATGCAATATCGAATGTATGCTGGTGAAATGTATAGCCATGCCTCTATCTGAAGGTATGTAACATGACGGTCTTGCATTATCAGTTCACGTACGGCATCGATGTTTTCTGGCACAACGGCTGTTTTTGGACGACCTTCACGGAATTCGTCTTTGAGCGAGCGTCGGCCACGATTGAATTCGTTGTACCAGTTTTTCACAGTGCTATAGGATGGTGCTTCACAGCCATACAACGATTTTAGTTCATCGATGCACTCTTGTCGTGATAATCCACGTCGAAAGTTGTGTTCACGAGTTAATTCCATTTTTTGGCCGAGATGCATTTTTTAATTCCCTGTAAATAAAACAATTCACGATTAATTGACAAAACGTTCTGAGTGATGTTATGCAAAAAAATGTCAAACTTTCCAATGGAAATGTCAGATTGCACCTGGCAACACTTAGTGTTGCCTAGGCCAGAAATATATATAGCAGCCTCCGTATGGTAGTATTTTTCATATCAGCAAAAGAGTATGTTTTCTTCTTCAAAGGTTGCTGATGCGACTGACCTATCAACCGTGTGAAAGAATTGCCTTTAGTCTAACTGCTTTCGATTCGCCAAACAGTAAGGAATAGTGAACCGAACAAACTATACCAGTTGTTTCATTAAACTTGAAGCAATTACCTTGTTTATTCTTCGATGTTCTTAATTCCGCGACAAATACTGTTTTAAGAGCGGTACAAAAGTTTTGTTTTTTAATAAAAAAAAAGGATGGTATATCTTTGGATGATGAAATGGCATATCTTACTGAAGAGAAATGTCAAAAGAGCGGGAAAAATTATGGTTTGCTGTCCCTATTGTTCCACTTTTACAGTGACCCTATTGAAAACCCCGTTATAATTATTATATTATATTTATTTCAAAACTTAAGTATTAGCAATATATTTTTTTTTGTGTTTTCATTTTTGGAAGCAATTTGTTATTAAGTAGATCCTTTCACTCCGGAAAAATTGGTGTAAAATGTCTAAAACATAACTCGGCGGCGTTTAAGATAGTGGTTATACTAAATAAGTATGTTTATAAGTGGAATATTATCATACTCTCATCTATCAATTCCAAACAAAGGCGCTGTTGAGATTTTTATTTTGGTTAATATTGAGGGCTAGCTAAAGCTATAATTCCCTCTGTCATAGGTGAATTTTTTTATTGCATAAAAGGGCATAAAATGATTTTAGTTTTTATTTTTATCGATCACTAGCTACCATCTAAGTCATTACCCCATGTTTACAATTTATTTGAAAATTTTAGCGATGTACTGAATAATAATCTATGGCGAATTTCGTGAAGATATCTTGTAAAAGAAAAGAGTTTACGATACAAGGACTTGAGTTTAATCGATCGGTTTGTATGACAGCTATAGTCGCACGTTATCGGGTTTCCGACAAATGAAAATGTACACATATACAGATAGGCATAAGGGCAGTCTGACGGACATGGCTAAATATATTTATTAGCTATATACATACATTTCCTTCTGGGTTCATCATATAAGACGGTTCAAAAGTTGTAAAGAGTTGAGTGATGATACCCATAATTGTAACTGTCAAATGCAGTTTTGTAGCTAAAAATTGTGTTATAGCAATGAATAAACTTTTGCATTTGACAACTTTACTATAATGGTTGGAAGTATTGCTGATGCAAACTTGCTCGGCAGCTTTTAGTCAAGTTTTGAACCTGAAGTTCTGAACGAACTTTTGAGCACTAAGCATTGAAAACTAGATGTCGCTGAAAGAGGCTTAGAGTAATAGCTTTGTGAGAGACAAGCTATTAGTCCGCTGTATACGTAGTAAAACATTATATGAGACGAAAGATCATTATCGCTTATTATATCCTGGTTTAACTTACGACAAATGCCAATTAAATTTTCTTACCAAATATGTCGTGTATATTTTATTTTAAAGCTAATTTTAATTACAAAAATTCGTGCATTGGAAAATGTATTAAATATACGCTACATAAAAAAATAAATTAAAACATTTTTTTTTTTTTTGAAATTATTACAATTACGCTAAACTTTACGAACGTCGACTGAATAATCGAGACGCTTAAACTATGGAGCGGCATCATAACTGCGTTTCACAGCAACATTTAGTGTGCTCGGCTACTTGCACTCTGCTTTCAGTCCTTCGGCAGATTACTGTCACTTTTCCCTCGACTGTAGGGTCGTGCGCCACCCAGCATACGCTCCAAAAGGCTTTGTTTCGACTTGCGCTTCGACGCCAACACCTCCTTGCATAGTTCGTGGAACACTTCGGCCACCTGATCGACATGATCCGCCGCTGAGACTTCGCTAAACTTGCATTCAAAGTCTTTGGCGAGAATTTCACCTTCATCCCGACTAACTTGACGCAAATGCACCATATCCACTTTATTGGCCACTAATTGCACTGGTGTATCGGATTGTAGGTCTGATTTGGCGCGTCGTATGTAATTAAACGAGCTGCGGTCGGTTATCGAGTAGACGAGCAGAAGGCCGTCGGCCCATTGCACCAACTCAGCGGCATTGGGAAACTCATCATTAGCCTGTATTGTTGGCGTGACATATTACATCACCGCAATTATTATTTTTTGTTTTTATATGCCATTGTTGTTGTTATTTGTGTAGCATTGAGAGGTGACATCAGTCAGTCATGGTAGGGAAGAGAGAAAAAATAACAATAAAATTCATTTATGAATAAACAAAGAAGGAACTGCATGTCAGTAAGTATGGTGGCGCGGAGAGCACAAACACAACAAGTCAGCTGACTGATTGGCGCTTTTTTGTGTGCGGCGAGAATGTGGAAAATGAAAATAAAGTTATTACTCCAGTGGCGCACTGCTGACACACATTCTATATAATACACACGACTTCAATGCCGTGAGTGCATTTACCACTTTCACCTAAAACTTTTTACAACTCTGTGTGTGTGTATGCATATATGTGCGTGTGCTTTCAGAGAGCACCTACAAATGGAGGTGCCTTTGGATGTATATAAATATGTAGTACATATGTAATTGTCAACAGACTTCTGCGTCAGCGTTTACAGTTGAGTCAGCAAGCAACAGGAGTGATTTCACCCGATATAGGTGTGAACACGTGTATAACTGTGTGTAAAGCGTGTTGCACGTACAGTAAATGTCCTTGCGACCCTTATCGTCCTTGCTGTGGCGACAGTCAGGCAACATGGCTGTCTGTGTGTATGTGTGTGTGTGCACGCACTGACAGGATAATTCACTTACCTTGGGGCATGTGTCTAGTAATTCGAACAGCACCGGCTCCCCCTCCACCATCGCTTCATGCTTGTATCGATTTTCTGCAATATAAGCGAATGAAAGAGAGCTTTGAATTTTTATTTCCATATGCACTATTATGTACTTATGTATGTATATATCAAATAATATAGCTACTATATGCATGCGCTTGTGTATGTTTATGTAGACGTGGCGCCTTCAACACTCATGTATATTAAATTTTCTCACTTTAAAATGGTGGCAGGATTGGAAATCATGCAAAGTGCAGAGGAGTTGCAAGCTATGACCGCATTGGCATGAAGCATGAACATTGTAGTTGTATAGGCGTATGTGGCTTGCGTGCTTTCAGGCATATTAATGGAGTGAAAGCTATTAGTTTCTTATAAGCTTCCAATAATTTTGTTGAAAGTGAAAGTGCTTTTTTTTTTATAATTTTATGTTCATTATGGACCATGTTTTAAAGAACCGCCAAATATATTTAATATCATACGATTTGCCAAGGGATTTTTTTTAGCCAAATACTATGTCGAACTTAGTGAATGGAACCTAGGGTAAGACTTATCGCTCGATAACTCCTTTTTCCCCTCGAGGCCTTGCTGCTCTTGATCTTCACACACCATCTGCCAAGCCGAATACCAGCATGTCTTCCAGACGAATAATACTTAATTGGATACGCGGAAGATCTTGCAGCAGTACTTACAGCACAAGACACAGAAGAAAGCTTCATCACAACCTACGGAAAAAACAGAGCTACTACTTCTAAACACATACCCCTCGAAATAAGTATGCAGACGACTGTGGATATTCTTAGGACGTAAAACGCAGTATACTACCTAAGCGTAAGACTGGACCCCGGACTAAACTTCTAGGTAAAAAAGGAAAGGCAGCGAAAGTCACCTCCCAACTTAGCAGACTAATGGTTAACATAGAAGGCTCCAGCCAAGAAAAGGGGATGATTTTATGTCGCTAATAATTAGCATCCTATTATACGGAGCTGAGTTCAGATGTGCTTCAAACTGAAAACCGGCGCAAGGTATTAGTCTAGAGTGCACCGGACCGCAGCCCTCAGAGTTGCATTAGCCTACCGAACAGTGTCAGGTGATGCAATATTAGTTAAAATTGGTAATGCCCGAGTTGACCTTCTGGCATTCATGCCTATACAACGACGCGACAGAAGACGACGCTGAACACACATTCTTTGCACGCACGGTATGAGTGTAGCAAACTGGGGGATTATCCAGAAATTCGCAGCAATTTGCTACGTAGCGAAAAGTGGGACCTGGACGCCGATACACAGACTTATAGTAATGACAAAAATGAAACGCCACCCTGAAGTAATGCAAATGTGGTTCCAGGGTGGTTCGCTGTAACTTATAGGAGCAGCTTTGAATTCTACCGGAATCGTTTTTTAAAATTAAAGGTAAATTTTAAGTGTTAGAACGTCTTAACATCAGTTCTGGTGACTTGGCCGACTGGTTCTTCCATTGCCCCGTTCTCCATAGATCTGGGCGCAACCAGAGAAGGTAATATCAGACCACACCTGTTGATTAATTGAACGACGATTTTCAATGTGAAGCGTCATTATATATGTAAGTGTTTTAATAATATTATAATAAAATGGCATTAATAAGCAAGAAATATCGGAATTCCAAATTTAATTTTGAAATAGTGAACTTATGCATCGAATTATTTATAAATCCGCTATTAAATGTTATGAATAAAATTAAACTGTGTGCTGATGTCATAAAAAATGTGAGTGCTGAATTTTTTCGTTGTTCTCATGTAAGTACATAAAAAACAAAATCAATAATCACACGGTACATCTGACACGTAATATGCATACATATATGTATTAATCTATATGTATGTTGGTACATGGTATCCCCCCTGGAATGCATTTATGCAGCTTTTATAATTCATTTGCGGTAATTGAATTTTTACAGCACTTCGCGCTTAAATGAGCGCTCGGGACTTTGCGGAGTGAAAATTAAATTTTTCTGCTGATGTGTCGAAGAGATAGCATTAATCACGAATTTTTTAGCATGGAAAAACTGATTTTATTGTTATTTTTTGAAAACTTTGGAAATTTTCAAATTATGTCATTTATTTGTCATATTTTTTCCCCTCGCACTGATTTATGCTTATTTTGCTGAGGATTTATAGTATTAGTTACACTCACTAAATACAGAGCATTAGAAAAAATTCTATATATCACATATGGAAAAGGTATTTGTCAGGTCCTCAAGAATAGAGACACTAATTTGGGCGTATACAGACAGAGAGACGGAGAGCGGACATGGCTACACTGAGCCAGTTAGTCTTGCTTATATTTATATAAGTAATTATAAAAGGGTCTAAAAATAAGAACAACAGAAAATTTTCTACTATGTAGGATTTTAACAAAACGTCGATCAAATTGTCACCACGACTCGGGTGGCATATCATCACCCATTTACGTCAATCTTCGATGATCCGGTGCAGTATTTCGGCTTGAATTTTGCTACAGTGCGCTGAATATTGTCCGAGCTACTCATGCCTTGTTGGTTGATTGACGTAAACATTTGATTCAAGATATCCTCAAAAAAAAAAAAAAAAAAAAAAAAAAAAAAAAAAAAAAAAAAAAAAAAAAAAAAAAAAAAAAAAAATTATCTAAATAATAATAAATTAAAACAAGTCGCATAACTTTGCAGATGCAATTGCGTTTCTTAAACCACAAGAGGATGTGTCTCACCCCAAAAGCGACAATTTGGTTTGTGGTTGAAGCCTTTAACGCGCCCATCGTCAAATTTTCACACCATAAAGTCCTCTTATACCATTTCGTAGGTAAAATATAATGTTTCTGGGGTATTCAGTTATTGATTTATTGTACTTTTAGTAGTTTTTAACTCCATTATATGGTGAATGAGCGGGGTTATCTTCTGATTTCACCAATTTCCATTTTAACACAGTCGGTAGAAGTTCTTATAAAAGTTATGCTGCACAAATTTAGTTTATTTTCTTGCAGCTTTAGTCTTTTAGAAGATATGTAAAATAAACTTATTAGAGGGCGGGGCTACGCCAACTTATTAAAAGATTTTGCAATTCCCTGAGCTAAATTAAAGCTTTATATCTTAATTTAGTGCTTAGTTATGGTACTTTATAGTTTTTCGTTTAATAGCGTTTTGTACGCTTGACAGTCTACGAAATCGTATTTTTTTGTACTAAAGAACCCGCAAACTAAGTTTTATCAGTATTTCGCGTCGTTTTAGGTAATACGTACAACCGTTAGGTGAACAGTTAAGTTTTGTAGCAACAGGTTACAAGAGTGTAAAAGTACATATTTATTTATTTATTTATTATAATAAACATAAAAATACGAAAAGACTTTTTCGACTTCTTTTTCTTCTTTACTGGCATATATTACGATTATAGCCGAGTTAACAACCGCGCGCCAGTCGTTTCTTCCTTTCCCACCTGGTCCTTCCAACGGAGTGGAGGTCTTCCTCTTCCTCTGCTTAAGCCGGCGGGTACTGCGTCGAATACTTTCAGAGCTGTAGTGTTTTCGTCCATTCGGACGACATGACCTAGCCAGCGTAGCGACTGTCTTTTAATTCGCGGCACTATGTCATCCTATATCTCACACAGCTCATCGTTTCATCGAATGCGATACTCCAATGTGCAAAGGGCCATAAATCTATCGCAGAATTTTTTTCTCGAAAACTCGCTATATCGAACAACAATGAATGTTAATATTCATGTTTCACATTAAATGATGTCATAAATTCACACTCTTAGTTTGTGCTAATTTATAGATATTTAGACCAAGGATGAATCATAAAATATTTAAAAGTAAATTTATATGCATTAATAATGTGATTTGAGAGTGTGTTTATTTTTTACAAAGTTTGGTGTAGATTGGCTGATAGGATCTTGAGTCTTCTCGGATCATGCCACCTCTGGCATTTGTTCAAAATATAATTTTTCCCCTTTCTATCTTCAGCAAACAGTAAGTTGTGTGAGGTAAAATGGCTGATCCTTAGCATTGCTGGGGAATCACACTTAGACTATTATGTACATTCGTTTGTGATGCCAAACCAAAAACTCCTGTACTTGAGTATCAGATAACGGTGAAAGTGCCCTGAACCATTCACATACCTGCTTCGGTGTTTTATTTCAAACAAGTCAGTTGAAAAGCTTACCATAGTAAAACTCATTTGTTGCAATTATTTTATTCAACACAGTTTTCTTCAAGGGTGATACACTGATTATAGCGACTCTCCAACTTTTCGTTACCACTGTTGTAGTACGAATTGTCCTTTGCTTTACAAAATATCTCAGTTTCAGTTTCGGCGATCACCTCTTCATTTGAAGAAAATTGATTCCCAGCGAGTATTCTGTTGAGATCTGAGAACAGAAAATAGAAGCTAGGGAGCACCATATACGACGGTGCATGCGAAAGCAATTCGAAGACCAATTTATGTATTTTTGCCATTGTTTTCACTGACTTGTGAGATGATGCATTGCTTGGTAAAACAGCACTTTCTTTTTCTTCGGCGATTTCATTCTTAATCAGTTCACTAACGCTATATAATAGTCGGTATTGATAGTCCTGTAATCAACAAAAATTATTTTTATGCGCATCTTCAAATACAGATGCCATAAACTTGTCAGTCGACTCGAGTTTATTAAGCTTGAACATCTCCAAACACCGCTCCCAATCACCAGCCGTCCGTTGTTTTTGATCAATAGTGAGCTCACGCTCAATAGGTCGGGCATTTTTCAACTGACCTGTTATTTAAGTTATTTCTCGTGGTTGTCTACAAGTATGAGGGCGTGTTGAGATGATTTTCTCTAACCTTCCTCCAAACAGTTGGTGCAGTTGGCATCCGGTAAGATACTGCAAGAAACGCGATCGAACAGTGGTCAGTTAAAACTCTTATAAATATTGAAGGTGGATCTTGCTGCGAGGTATTACGATCTACCCTGCGACCAGCGCTTGCTGATTTTGCCTGAGGCCCATGAGTAAACAGTAGAAATGATTGCATTTCACTAATATCACACGCGTATAAAAGTGATATCAAATAAAATATTATTTGAACGTGTAATAAATTGTCGCTTACCTGTTTGATGATCATATTCGCCAATATAACGCTTGGTGAGGAAACGCACAATTAAAGCTGAAACGGAAACAGGAAAATTGTTGAATTGTTTATACTTAATTAATTAGCGCTAGTAATATATAATTAGTCAGTGACATGATATACACATGAGTTCGCTCATCAACACTAGCAATACAAGCATATACCATATACACATACAAATGTATATGAAATCATGTGTGTTTAATGTAAATTAAATGAACAATAAAACTAGCAAACGCCTACAAAAGTGCCTGCATAAAGACACACCAATCGTCTGCTCACCTGCCTGTGGGCGCACGACTCAACAATTTGCTTGCGGCGGAAGGTGAAAAAGGTGGGAGCGATGAATTCAGGTCAACGAGTGTGAATTTCACAAAAAAGTAAGAGTAAGATTGAAAGCGAAATGAAAAGAACAGAGTTCGGCAAACAAAGCCGACATGTGAATTTGAACGCTTGTCTTCATTATAAATACAGGTTCTAGTATATGTGTATGAACATGTGCGTATGGCATAGCTCGCTATGCATATACTCTAAAGGCCAAACACACTGTTAAACAAATAAACAAGCTCCTGTTTAAGAAATAAAAAACGAACAACCCGAAAAGTTGCACGCACACAAACACCTGACAACATACCCTGTAAGAAAAGCGAACATACTTCTTTTTTATTGGCGTAGACACCGCTTACGCGGTTATAGCCGAATTGAGTTTGATCCAGTACGTCAGTTTGTTGATCTTTCTTATATCTAGTTATTTTAGTGTTTTCGTCATTTGAATAGTTTCTAATTGATCTTGCAGGTTCACACCCAGCAGGATGTGCTTTCTAGAAAGTGGGATCATCTCGTCCTTTTTCGTAGCCGTGTGAGTCCAGCCACGCAAAAATTCTAGGCACATGTGGAACATTAAGTTAAACTTTTTTTTGGTTTCAAGGTTCTTAAGCTGGAAGCCGTAGGCAAGAAGTCGTTGAAGTCGCATTGAGAGTAGCTCATTTAAGAACGTCTTTGGGCAGAGTTTTGAAAAAAGAATTGCTTGTTTTCTTTGTCTAAGCTTAATATTCTTCAATGGAGAGGACTCCATTATCCAACCATGAGAAAGTTCGAATAGCAGTTACCCGTCTGAAGGACAGCAAAGCGGCGTGACCGATGAGCTATTCAAATACGCTATGTCTAAATTTGGTATCTACGCAAAACAAATCCGGCTATGTAAACGTTGAGCAATACCAAAACCCCCGCCAGAATCGGGAAAGAGCTCTCCGAGCCGTTCAATACTAAATGAGGTTCAAGACAAGGCGAACCCCACATGTGTGACTTCTTCAAACTACTGCTGGAGAAAATAATTCGAGCATTATTATTAATCGAGCAGGTAAAATCTTCTATACGAAGAGCTCCCAGCGTATATCGATGATATTGATATTAGTGGCCTCAACAACTGCGCCATTAGTTCTGCTTTCTCCAGACTGGGTAAAAAAGCGAGCAAATAGGTCTGGCAATAAACTAGAGCAAGACGAAATATCTCCTGTCATCGAACAAAAAGTCGGCACTCACGACTTGGTTCCCAAGTCACTGTTGACAGTCATAACTTCGAAAATAAATTCGCTCATCTTGATTCAAGACCAACAACAATATCAGTCTTAAAAACGAACGCAGATTAACTCTTACTAACAGGTGATATTTCGGATCGAGTAAATTATTTAATAAAATAAAAAAAACTGCGAATCTGAAGTTCTTTTTCAATCGATTGCTAGAAATGGGGAAGAAAGTTGAGCGCGAAAGTAGATGACCCTCTTAAACAACAGAATTTCTTTGAATAAACAAATATTGAAAGCGAAAATGAAGTAGTTTATGGCATTACATTTCCTAAAGGGTCTTTTCATGGTTGTCTGTGTTGACGTAAAAGCGAAAGCCATTCACTGCTGCTAACAACCGAGTTGGCTCAGCTAGCAACGACACCGACTAGGACGAGGTTGTTAAACTCACAACCTAAAAAAGGACTTCCTCTTTCAATTTATGCAGCTACGCCAGGGGGTAGGTGTTCCTGCTGCTAGGCAAATGCTGATATGTATACGTTCAATTTTACATGCATAACCACACTCCTGCGTATGTATGTGTGTCTGTATGTAAGTATGGGACCTAATGTACTCCGTTCTGTTTGCAGTCAGTTGCAAAGCGTTAGTGCCGGTGAATTGCACCTTAATGTTGCGTGTTTGGCACACACAAAGATGGACATGGCGCACAGTCAAATGAGAGACAAAGTTAGTGCAAGTGAGGTTGTTGCATATTTTAGGGCATTTGAACGTGCACGTTGCACGAAAAACTCAAACCTGCTAGAATCAGTATTTGTGTGTGAGTGCATGTGAATAGCAGCAATACATATTACCGTTAGATGGTTGCATGCGAAAGTAGTATAAAGGCAACAAACTCAACTTGATAACCTGAAGTCTGAAATAGAAAAGAGAAAAACTGGACATTCGAACACATATAACAACAATACATGGTGTATATGCGCCCTCCGTTAAGTGTGTGTGTGTGTGTGTGCATGTGTCGTGCTGCAAAGCTTTGCCCGAGGCACACGTACACACAGTGGCGTGGGAGGTTACACCTCGCCAGTTCTTGCTATTGGATGATGTTGCATGCTTTTATGCAAATGACATTTTGTCCACTTGATTTGCGCAAAGCAAACTGACACACCCTTTCCCTCGCACCCCAGCGCCACCTTCGAAGCCGCTGGCAAAATTGTGTGTGCGGGGAAAAGCCGAAGATCGCCAGCGTAGGTAAACGCAATTTGTATGAGGCAAACTATTTTGTGGGAAATTGCGAAAATTTGCAGTTGTGTACACAATAACAAGAAACACCGTAAACAATTTCATTCATAGTCTGCATTTAGCCTAATTGTGGTATTATGGTAAAGGTGCATATGAACAGGGGCAAAAAACGTTTGTCGGCAACCGCAATTTTTCCAATTTGAAAGTGTTTTTGTCGCAAGCAGATGCATCTAATTTTGTTTAGAAATTTTAATGATATTTATCTAGGCTGAATTTTGCATACAAACATTGAATTTTCAACAATATTTACATTGCCATTGATTATATTTCCTTTTTAAAGAGAACAGTTTTTGGAGCAAGTAGATTATCTTCACTAAATGAGGTGGGTGAGGTTTTAAAACATCGGAGCGCTCGTTACGCAAGAATTCATGCACACTGGATTAAAGTTAAAAAGTAGTATCGTTTTTGTAAGGCATCCCTTTATGGAAAGTTATGCTAACTTAAGAAATTCTAAATGGCTATCTGGGCGATCCATCTTACTTTGACATTTGGTAATCGGTTCAGTTGGATGTATCAATTTGGAAATATGCAGTTCAACCACATATCACTTCAAACCGTGACGTTAAGAAAGTCTCACGCCTATCTTTCACCAAGAGCATGTATTTTCTTCAGCTGATCAGCAGAAATCACAAAACAAAAAAAAAAACGGCTTTGTGGATCAATTTGCAGAATGGATTGTATCTGTTAGTTTGGTCCATTTTAAGTTCAATTAATATTAAAGAAATTTTGAAATTTTTGGAAAACCATATTTTAAACTTGGCCATGACGACGCCATTTCTGGTGGCCCCTCGAAAAAAATATGCGCCTGCGTTGGCAGGATAACTCCTTACAGGATCGTCCAAAGTGAAAAAATTGCGCGTTTTAGCAAAACCTTATTTTAGAACTTGGACAAAGAAAAAAAAAAAAACTGAAATATTTTTGGCAGAAATTTTACAAAAAAAAAAACTAAAATTTCATTGAAAATTTCGCGATATTTTTTTTCAAATGGTTTTAATGCAAAAAAATCCTTCATCCAAGTCTTTAAGAATTATTTCTCAAAGATCTGTGTAAAATTTCTTGAAGATCGGTTGAATGAGTCGGGGAAATCTTGCCAATAGACTTCAAAAGCACAGTTTCGAGAAAAACGCGCCCTTGGCCAAGCTAGCCTGGAGCGGACAAGTTCCCAAGGATGTATCTACGAAACTAGTGCTTGGATCAACTTGAAAGAAACTTTAGAACAATATTCTAGAGGTCCCCTTAAGAGAAATGTTCGTTTCGAAATCATTGCTATACCATCTGATATGATTTACATAGTAAGCGGAGTAAACATTTGTTTATTATTATATTCTAAATTTTTTCCAGTTATACTATAAATGGCATAGTCAAGTCGATAACGTTTTCAGTTTAAGTTATAATTTTTATGTATAAACATGTATAGTTGCTTAAAGAAATTCACCTGTGAAGAGTATTATAGTTTCCGTACATTAGAAGTGAACGTTCTCGCAACATGCTGCTATATTATGTAATGGTTTTCTTCACTTAACTGCTGTTTTTAACACTTAAAATTAATCCAGATAGATATAGGGATTATGTGTATATAAATGTTCAGGATGACTAGACGAGCCCAGACTTCAGCAAAAATTGAGACTTGTTGATAAAACTTTCTACATTCTTCTTTGGTAATTGGACCGCTGTCACGCCCCCAAAGTGCCATTGAATATATTAAAAAAAGTATCAGAGATGAGCATTAAATAACGATAGAAAAAATGGTATTTTGATACCGGCCCTGTGGGAAACTAATAGTAAATCTTTTTTATTTAAATTTCGCACGATTGCCAGTGCCCAGATCATTAGTGTTTAATATATGCTTGTCTTTCTGAAGTACACAAAGTGCATTTAGCGATTTTTCCGATGAGTGAAATTATTTAATAAAGAACAATGTTTTATAAGGCCTTTGGTGGTAATTGTTTGTCGCGTAGAAGTGTTATTGATTGGTATAAATTACTCAAAGAGGAGTGAGAACGTGTTGACGACGAACCACGTTCAGAACGTGCATCAACATCAACTGATGATCAATACGTCAATAAAATAAGTGAATTGATATTTGAGGATCGACAATTAATAGTTAGAGATCTTACTGGCGTCGTTGGAATACCGGAAGCATAAGTTAAAGTAAGTGAAATTTTATATCTCGGGAAGAGGTTTTTATTATAAACTGTGAAAACCGGCGCAATCGGATGACAACCACGCCCGTTTCCCACATGCAATTCTTTTAAATTCCATCTTATTCTTTCATGGACAATATTTTTGTGATAATATACATATGTCTTTGTGCCTTACCTTCCGTCTAGCTTATATACATATTTTCAAACGTCCGACTCACTTTACTGCGTCTTTATATAAGCGATATTTAAAATTTCACTATGGAATTGCGCATTATGCTCTAATAATTAAATATTATAGGAGACTAATCCGCAAAATTCTTTAACCAAAAATATGAAATTGTGAATATATTATTATATAATATAAGTTTAGGCATTAACAAAGGAAATATGTAGCCATTGTCTAGTCGTCGAGTTATTAAGGAAGTATGTGTTACCAAATGGTTTTTGTCATCTTGTCGGAATAGTTTTCGGAACACCAATAAAATGTGTTCAAATATATATATATATATATATGTATATATTTACATAGTAGGTAAATTTGTAAGACAAATTAATTGTGATATATGTATAATAGTGCCACAGTGCCACTACTGGTCTAGATTAATCTAACTAAATTAAACAAAAAAAAAAAAAGAAAAAAAAAACACTGTAATTGAAAAGAAAGATAGTACTCGCATATGGTTAATATACCATTGACTCTAATTTTACCATTACTGGTCCATATACTTGTACACGCGCGTATACCGAATAGATAAATGTATTTCTTCTAAATTGATACAAAATTTTTTCATATTCGTGTTAACTTTGATTTCCTTATGTCAATTAGCGGGTGTTGGGCAGCTGTTTGTTTACAAAGCGACAAATATCTCTGACGATTTTACGACAATCTCTGTTGATGGCGATAACATCAAAAGGTCAAAGAAATTAAAATCGTCTGGTTGGCATTAGCGAGTTACTAGCAAAGAATCTCAACATATCTTATGAATCGATTAAAGAAATTTTCAGTAATGTTTATATAATATTATTTATTCTGTGGTTGACAGCTGGCTTTCAGTCTTTCAGCCTTTGCTTTCGATTACACTGTAAGATTGGGAAAAAAATTGTATCACCCACTAACAAAACCCTACTTTTCTTTAAAGAGTAGAACTTTTTCCACCAGGCTTTCGGTGTAACTTAATAAAAGACAGCTATTAGCTATCCTAGTATTGGGTTAAAGTTTGCAGTAAGATGAAATTTCCATACAAACTTTTTATGTTCTATCAGTAGGTTAATGATATTTCCTTTATTTATTGATTGCTTTATTTTTTATTTATGTTGAGTTTTGTATTGTTATTGTACGTCATTTCGGCATTGACTTTATTTAGACAAGAGGAGGCCAGAGGTAAAAGAAGGTAGAGAGCAAACAATAATTTGGAACTCGTTAGCCGTCGAAATTTCCTTATGAAAGTTATTATCTAAAAATTTATCACACAAAGTTATCTTCCACAAGCGGTAAATAAACACCAAACAATTATTCCAGGCATTCCCATAACAATGGAAGCACTCGTGAAATGTATAAGTAACAAATGCATTTTTTCAGATAACTTCAAGATTGTATGCTTATAATGTTTACAAAATATTGAATAATTCTAAAAATTATTAAGCGTTTTCTTTTTGATTACCTCAACTTAGATGAACTATATAAGGTTAACGAAACTAAGAGGTTAACGGTTTTCGATACCTGAAAAGGTGGATGATGTGTTCAAAACATAAGTTTTGGAAATTTGTAGTGGCAAAAGTGCCTCGACAATTGGTTCAAACGCGTACAATGTAATGAATAATATTTTTAATCTAAACCCGAAATATAAAATGCAACCCTCCTATATATATCCCCATTTGGTTACTTTGCCTGATTACTTCAGATATCCACATCGCTGATATCTCTTAAGTATAACTCGAATTTGAAGTGCTTTTACTCATTTCACACCAAATAGACGCGTATTCATCATTCATATATTTTGCAATTATTTATTTATTTATTTATTTAGTTAAATATGCATAAATATCTAAATCCAACTGTATAATTATGTGAGTTGAGTARATAATTAACATTTAATCATGTAAAACATACCACTTTTGCCCACGCTGGGCGATCCAACGACAGCGATTTTTAATTCTGTCAAAGTCGATTTCTTGCGACGTATACCGCGTGTAGTCATTACCGTTAAATTAATATGAACAGAGCCGAAAACCACAAAAACAAACCACAGCGAAAACCGCAAACGAAAATCCGCAAACCGAGATGAGTGAATAAATTCAATGTTTATAAGTATTCATTCACATCGAGGCTGGGCAGGTGAGGCGATCGCGAATGTTTAACATAAACTTGCCGCCTTTAAATGCAGGTACACATTTTTCCTACTCACACACATACATGCACGTCTATGCTTTTTGTGCTTATTAACCGGCAAACTGTTTGTGTAGGCTAAAGTGATTTTTTCTGTATTTTTTTCGTAGTTCTAGAAATGTAAAATAAATTTTGTTATTACTATTTGATGTACATATGTATATGTACATACATGTACGTATACGTATGTACATATGCATACACATGCTCATTTCATTTCACAACTCACGGCAATGTTTTGCATATGTAGTTGTATGTTTATATGGTATTTAGCAGATTTTTATTGCGTACGTTGTGCGAGGCAACAGAAATATGAATGAAAGCCTTTTATTCCTTTACTTTCAGGCAAAATAATTTTGTTTATCCATATGTTAACAATTTTATTGTTGCCACGTTTAATTGGATACGTTTCATTTACAATTTTCAATTTTCTTACACTTTTTTGTTATTTTCTCTCACTTTTAAAGCATTGCGATTGATTCCCATGTAACAAAGAAATTTCAGAAATTACAATAACTTCGAAAGATTTTTAAAATATTTGCACTTATTCGTCACGTTTATACATTTTTTTATTTCATTAATTAATTTTTATTTCAGCCTAAGTGAGAGGCGCTTGTCCTGTGCCTAACAGACGTAAAAGATCCAAGGGCATTCCTATTGAAACAAAAGACGGCTTGGAATCAATGCTCTTCCTCCCAAAGTCGCTGGGAGCCGTGTAATGTAACCTGTATCATACGGCTGAAGGCTGGATTTCGCAAAGACAATGTGGTCCAGTGTCTCATCGTTCTCCGTGCATGTTCTACATTCCGCTGGACTCACTTTTCCAATTTTATGAAAGTGAGGACTCCAACAATATTACTAAGTTCCCTGTTCCTATAAGTAGAAGTTATTTCGTCTATCCACTGAATTATCCTTGCTTTGGTATGCCCTGTCGTAGAACATCTTAGGTTAATTGTGTTCCCAGCTACTACCGAGCGGGTCAACTCAACCGTAATTTTCACCTTTTTATTATGCCAATAATTCCGGTTCTAAAGTTTGAATTGTCCGATATATGAAGTTAACTTTTGCCTATGGAACACTATAAGTAGAAGAAGCCTGTCACTGTTCCTGTTTCACCGTTTCATCAGCAGGTGACTATTTGAAATCTTACTGAAGGAACTATCACAGATCCATTGGTCCATTCTTCTCTAGAGGAGAATTCTCTAGAGACTCTAGAATGAAAAATTGGTGTTTAATTCCTCAATAATCCTAAACAAAAAAAAAAAAAAAAAAAAAAAAAAAAAAAAAAAAAAAAAAAAAAAAAAAAAAAAATTTAAAAAAAAAAAAAAAAAAAAAACGGTTGCTTTGACCATTTAATTCGAGTTCCGAGTTACTATTTTCCGAGTTACTATTTATCAGGAGCGCAACATTCTTATTGCTACGGTAAGTCAGTAGATATTTCCCTGCATACTATCGTGTCATGGCTTGAGGAAGCCAATACGGTTAAGTATTTCGGTATTGGTACTTTCCTTAATATTGAGGGAGCTTTTGTTTCTGCTCTGGACGGTATTGAAGTTGAATCAAACTTCAAACACCTCATTCTCAGTCTGCTGTGAAATGGAATGGGGCAACGTATGCGCTCGACGAAATGTGAATAAGTGTACTCCACAAGGTGGAGTTTTCTATTCTCTTCACTGGATCTTGGTCGTTAACGACCTGCTTAGAAATCTGGAGTATCATGGCTTAAGTGCCTATGCAGACGATGTAGCAAATTGAACAAAGGAAAATTCCTGAGTTCCGTGTAAGAGTTGACGCAGGGGTATCTCAAGTTCTCACACACTTTGACTTCATACCAGATGGCTTGCATCATGAAGTCGCCAAACTGAACTCTGGTGGCTCCTACTCTGCTAAAGCGACGAAGGAGTTGTGGGTGGGAAGAAGCCGTTGGAGGAGAGGTGCCGTGAGCTCCTTTACGGGTGATGCAAAGCTTGGGAGAACGTTGTTATAGGGATTAGGGATTTACTATCAGGAGCTATCTATTAACGCCATTTTCAGACTTCCTGACTACGGCAGTGTCTTTTAGGCCGAGGTTGCAGCCATTAAGGTAGCAGTAGATTTGCTCCGGAGTACAGACTCCTTCAGAGAAGTGATATTTACTCAGATAACAGAGCAGCGTTACTAACCTTGAACTCATTTACAGTGCGTTCATGGTTGTTTGAGGAGTGGCTAACCTTGATATCAATTGCACCGAGTGTCTATGATTGTCTGGGTGTCTTAGATTGGTATGGGTGTCGGGCTATAGCGAGAAAGAAGCAAAGCAGATGAGCTAGTAAGGAAAGGCAGCCGAAAACCGCTGTCAGTAGAATGGCAGTGGGACGCAGCTCCCATATCCTCTTGTGTTCTATTACTATATAAGTGGGCTTCGGGGAAGCTTGGCCAGCGCTATGCCACCATCGATATATGCGCTGTAGCAAAAGCCGTTTGATCCATGATCGATCACAGGAGATCTAGTGACTTCTTTGTCCTTAGTTAGGTTAGCCACTCCTTAGTTGTAGGGCTCTTAACAGGTCATTGCCGCCATTTGCACTTCCTTCTTGGCTGTCCCGCGCATACCCTCAGACATCCCACCGAACTGGCGTGAGTGGAAATTAAAAGCCTGTGCAAATTTGTATGGGTTACTAAGCGTTTTGCTTATTTATAGGTTCGAGCACAAGAGTTCTTCTTTTCTGGGCTTCACAAAGGACTATGTATAGCAGTCCACGTGTGATCTTCGATTAGCTCTCTAACTTAACCTTTTACGAGGTCGATAGGATATATCAATATCCGACTATAGCGTACAGTTGCCATACAAACTGAACAATCGGAATGAAGTGCTTGTTTGGAAATCGTTTGTTTTTGTGAAGGTTATTATATTTTCAGACGTAGAAAAGTTAACCTTTTTTCTCTTTTTGCATCTCTTTAATTTACTACCGAGTTGTTGGCTCTTAAAAAATATCAAATTGAAAGCCGAATTTTTAATTTTTACTTCGGGTCTGTTTTTCTGTAAGTTGGTAGTCTATGTTAAATATTAAAAATATTCATTAGTACTTGCGATACACGTCGTTATGTGAGGCTCCAAAAGTGTATTCTTCGAATTTTACTATGTCTGAATTTATTGAACAAAGAAGTGCGATAATGCATCATCTCATACTGCATTGGTTATTCGTGATCATTTCGCCACATTTTCAACAAATTTCGTGTCGCAACCACCGCATTCGTCTGATTTACCTTCGTGTAACTTCTGCTTATTCAGCAAATAGACATGACCTATCCGAGGACACCGTTTTGACTCAGTTGAGAATATAAAAGCTGAATCGAAGAAGGCTCTGATGGCCATTACGACGGAGGAATTTCCCAAGTGCTGTGATGACTGGGTAATTCGTTGGCAAAAGTGTATTGCAGCGGGAGGGGATTCCTTTGAAGTAGGTGAAATGGACAAAATTCACCTTTCAATTTGATCACAGTAGTATAACACATACATATATTATATAGATATATGCATACACAAAAAATCATCGCAGACAGTCGAAAAAGTACTTAAATACTTTTTAAAATCCCAAAAATACACATAAAAGAAACAAAAATTTTCGTGTATGTATATATGTATGTAGGTATAAATGTGGATATATTGGCGCCTTTCACTGAAAATTCAATGTCACATTCTTGTCGCTTTTTAATGCAAAAATTCGCTTTCTGTTTGTGTTATTTAATTGTATTACGGTTCTTTACTGCCGCAGCGCGCTGACATGGTAATTAGATCGCTGATCTCCGCGCTTTATGCCATTTTGTTGGCTGTGATTTAAGATGTTCATAATAGCTTGTTGAATGTCAACATTGAAAACACTTTCATCTTTTTCATTTGACTTGCAAAAAACAAAGCATTATATGGTGAACTGGTTAGTGGGTACGTCGGCCGCGTTATATGTATACCATTCGTATGTATGTCCAACTGCCGAAAAGTCACTCATACGCAGTGTAGTCCTACAAGTGTGCGCGTCTGTTGAACGCCACATGTACGACTTTGTCTGCGATTAATAATTTTCACTATTTCAGATATTTTCGAAAACAAACATTTCGCCCTATATCGCCACCGTCTGCAGCGCTAAGTTTGCCTGCGAAGTATGTATTTCGCTTATTTTGTCTGGCGTTCGTTTAGTATTTCAGTGCTTCTAAAATTCTACACATACACACGCACATACAATTACATATGTACACAAATGCAAAGCTAAATTTTCAACGGCAACGTGTTTCGTTGGCGTGGCACTCGTTTGTTCGGTGTTTGCATATTTTAGATTTATTTTTAATTTTCGCCGACTTTTACGTGTGTTTCGTTGAAAACGAAAATATAATTTCCAAAGCAAACAATAATGTGTAGTTTTAGAAACTAAAACACAGGCACAAAGAAATATAAACAAATGTGCGACGAAGTTTCAACCAGAGATTTCCGAAAGTGCAAAAATTGTAATTTCCACAAATATTGTTGCCTTAATTTAAAAATTTTTTTCTCATTTTTTACAATTTGATTTGTTGCTTTTCGTTTGTACGTTTTCACTTAGTCGCTTTCGTCGAACCGGCAGTATTCACCGTGTCACAGTTTCGGCCCACTTTTTACTACTAAAAACATTGTTTTAAGCATAGGCGGCCAGCTCCTCAACATGTTGTTGATCAGCGATCGCTTCGCTTGCCTGCTGCTGTTCGTGTGATTGTTTCAAAATGTTAAAAACATTTTTATATCTTTTCGAAATATGTAATACATTTTGAAATGTAGTTTTAAAAATAGCTCAATGCAGTGAGATTTCAGTACAGAGCGATTTCAGTACAGAGAGAAAGAGAGTGTGAGAGAGAAATGAAATTCGCCTTAACCCTTGAGTGATTGTGGTTTAGATTTTATTTCCGAAATTGGAACACTAATGGTAAACCATAACTTATTGGACACATTATAGTCTTGATTTATTTCCTAGCTTATGATCTTAACTTTGTGCCGCACTGTTTAACAGCATAGCCAGAAATAATTTTAGGGGTCAGTATGGTAATCTTTTTTTAATTTTTTTTTGCATTTTCTGTTCCCTTATACCCTTAGAATTAATGTAGAAACCCACTTTACCATTGGCAGGTTTCGAAAAAGGCCCACAAATATTAAAAACGCTCGACATTCGGAGCACTCGAGGTGTACACTCAAACTTTAAACGCGTTTTTCTAAAAACAAACAAACAAACAAAAAAAAAAAACAATTTTTTAAACTGGCAGATATGATACCGGTCGAACTACTCGACCGATTTGCTTAATTTTTTTTTAAATGTTCAACGCCTGGCTATCGTCCCTATACTTATATATATATATATATAACATGGGGGTAAAAATGTTATTTACTTTTTTATTTATCAACACTTTTTTATGGTTCTAGTAGGGACGATAACCATTCACGTAAAGAATAAATTGGGGTTTTGTGATTCCGATGATCCAAATCGTGTCCGCAGGTGAGAAAACGCATCTCATTCCGTAAAAATTTGTTTATACACTCTACGATATCCCTCATGATTTATGGAAAAAATTCTATTGTGGAATAACAATTTCTATGGAAAAATGTCAAAAAAAAAAAAAAAAAAAAAAAAAAAAAAAAAAAAAAAAAAAAAAAAAAAAAAAAAAAAAAAAAAAAAAAAAAAAAAAAGCCATATTACTCTACTGAATCCTTAAGCATATTTGGTGGATTTATGTATTAAAGGATTCCGTTTTCTTGTTCGGTAATATTAATTCAATATTTAGGTCACATTATATAAATTTGATATTTTTTCCAAGAGAAAAGAGTGTAAAACTCGATTGTTTTTGTTTCGAGAGGTTAAGTTAGGTTAGGTGGTTGGTCTAGAGTGATTACTAGATCTCTTGCGATCAGACTTGTGGCCGAAGGTTCTAGGGTGCGGTTCTTCCGATAGCGGTTCTAGGCTGCCTTACCTTGCCAGCTAGTGGCCTGGCACCCATACCAGTTTCATCACACAGACACTCGATGCTATTAATAGCGAGGTTAGCCACTCTTTGACCAACACAAACGCACTGTTAAGGAGTTCAAGGATAGTACCGCTGCTCTGCTCTCTCAGTCAATGGATGAAGTCTGAAGATGGAGATGATAGAGCGCCCTGACAATAAATCCCTACGCCAATGGCTTCACTCATCCCGTCATTGTGTGAGGATATCCAAATATTAAGTCACGTGTTCTTTTAGTAACACAGATATTTAGAGTCTGATAGCAACTTTCGCAGCCATACATCTTTCGACAATGTCTACGGGCACTATGAGCAAGAAATCGTTAAGTGCCATGGTTGGAGTGAACCTTAATGAACCACATATGTTGATAAGCGGAGCTCGTTGAGTATTTCGAGAGTTATATTTTATAAAAAAAATTTTACTAATAATGAATAGTTTTTAAATAAGTCTAAATTTTTCTAAAATTTCAATCTTAATGTTTAAATTTTTACAGTTGTTTTAAAAATTATTTATTCAAGGAATTTTTAAATGCAACCCTTAGATCACTGTTGAATATTTTCTATATACAACAGTAGAATTTTTGTAATTTACTTAAAAAAAGAATGTTGTGATAAAAAAGGAAAATATAAGTCATATGTATGTAGATTTCATATTTCTGATGAAAATTCCGCACACGAAAATAAAATCTTTGCAGCACATACCGGTTAAGAGTCTCACTCAATCAGGCACACATACTTATCCAACTGGAGATTTTTATGCTCTCTGTAATGGACTCACGGAATTTGGTTACAGAATGTTTACATTAAATATAAATAAGTATGTAGCAAATAATATAGCGGTCGAACATCCAAAAATAATCAGCTGCAGTTAGCACAAGAGATGTGCGCTAGATGAAGTTCCTAGTGTACGTGGAAGCATTATATTATATGTAGATTAAACTAATTTTCAATGAGTGCAATTAACGTGTGACGAGAAAATCTCTGTTGTTTATATGGACATTAAGGTGGAGCTTTATATGGGACTTTTGTGAATGGTTTCTGAGTGAAAATCAGTTTTTATAAAATAAGTATAATAAGTAAAATAGTAAAACACAAATTAAAGAATACAAAAGATGTCTTAAAGAACTTGATTTTGATCGTTTGATTTGTATGGCACCCATAATCTAGAGTGGTCTTCTTCTTCAGCACCACAACCGAGGAGCAGACAGAGCCTAAAATACGATACTTCGCCAGTTGGTCCTAAGTGAAGCCAGATTGCGCCAGAAGCCAGAAGTCCTCGGCCCTTCCATTGGATGCATAGACGGATGACATGCGCTTAATTATATTCATATCGCTTATGTGCACAGTTCGTGGTTCCACCTTCTTTGATACTCTTTGCATACGCGGGCGACTTCAAAGCGCTTGCGTATGTTCTCTCGAATGTTCCAACTACTTTCTCATCTCGGGTATGGACAATGACCCTACGACGTATAATAAGATGGGAGTGATGAGAGACTTATGGAGTGTAATTTTTCTTAATCGGGAGAGGAATCTGCTTTTTAATTGCCTACCGATCCCAAAGTAGCACCTGTTGGTAAAATAAATTCTGTGTTCTGCGTCTCCAGGCTTAAATTTTTGGTGATATTTATGCTGGTACCGAGATATACAAAGTCCTTAATTTTTTTATAGTTGCCAACAGTGACGTAGTTCCCAAAATGAAAGGAATCTTTGTATGTGGCCTCCAACCACATTGTCTTGTCCTCGTTCACCACAAGACCAACCTTTTTCGCTTCTTTTTCTAGTGTTAAAAAGTTTCACGGCACTTTTGTTAAGGCCTATGATGTCAATATCATCATGCTACGGTTCAAGTCAATCGGCGCGTATTACTTTTTCCAATATTATATTGAAAGAAGACGTACGAGAGAGAATCACAATATCTAAAATCTTATTGATGGTTGTGGCCAACGTCATTCTGAATAGTTGTATGAGTTTCGCAGAGATATTAAATTTAGACATGGCGTCGAATAGACAGTTCTATCGACAAAAAGGTGATGTTTCTCGATCTATTTGTTCAGAATCTTCTCTTAAATATGACGTAATTTGAAAATATGCTACAAAGGTCTGATCAGAAAAATTTGTTCAAATATTGCAACATTACTTCGAATAATTATTTATGTGAAATGTCGTGAGAATATCCCTTCTGATTAAAAACTTTCTATATGCAAACTACATAGATTCCGATCGTGCAGCTTGTATGACAACTATATGCTATAGTGGTTCAATCTCAATAACTTCTTCCATGATTATACCATTGGTTTTAGTAGTTATCCGTGGAAAATTTTTTGAAGAGGAGTTGTTAAAAAATGAGCTTCCTTTACAAGACAACAAGTGAGCAGTTGCTTGGGAAGGAGAGGACGTGTGCAAAGTTTCA